TTGAATTCGTGTCCTTTTTCGCGCTATAGAATGGGAAAAGAGCAACAGAAGAATGAAAAAACGACAATAACAGCAAAAGTGTGTGTGTGAACGAGGGAAAGAGAATGGAGATTCGTTCAGCAGTTTTAACCACCGTTCATCCAATTTGTATTCAAACAGCAACTTGTTGAAAGCCGAAGCCGAACTCAAGCACTTTGCACATCCCGTATTGTATGAGAAGACCAATGAATTACAGCAATGGAATATTTCAGCACCATTTCAACCGTGATGCTACTGATGCTCGGCATTCCACGTTTTGTTGGCATAGTCACACACACACACACACACACACACACACATCGAAATATTATCTGCGCGTTCTCGCTCACGCTCTCGATCAAACACTTTCACAATATTCAAATGCATCTATATCGTTGTGCATGCTGCCATTTCCATTTATATTAAACAGCCGTGAGCAAACGAATGCTAAAGAATGAGATAAAAAAGACTAGTAACTGGCAGGAGGAAAAATAACAAACTATCGAACCAGTGAACTTTTTCCAGGCAATGAGGAAAGGCAACAAGAAGACGAGTAATACACACACAAACACTCACATTGAAAAAGGGAAGAATATGCTTGAACGCGCGACGCGTATTACACGTTATTGTGCACCAAAAGCTAACGCGTATCAAAGTGAAAATAAATCGCTTTTAAACAATACTATGAATTAGATTTTCAGTTTATCGAAGCTCTCACTTTCTCTTGCTTATTCGATCTCTCCTTCATTCTCACTCTCTGTCTACCTGGATTTAGTTCAACATTCATTGTCATTTGTCCTTTTTATTTTGTTCAGCCAGTTGTGTCGCATTTGACCGGTGCATTCTAAAAGTGGCATTTTTTTTGTTGACTTTCCACATTCATTTTCGATTAGCCGCTCATTCATTTTTGCCTATGCACTATGCATGACTAGAGTGGGATCGTAGAAGTGTTGGTATTAAGTCGCTTTGGGCTATGCAAAAAGGGCGATGAAAGCGAACAAACGAATCTGAGGTGTTAACGATAAAAAATCTCGTTCTTTTTTTCTCTTCACGAAATATATTCAATGAAAATTGAAAAACTCATCATCTTTGTGTATTTTCCATATAAACACTTCATAACATTTTTAGGATGTTCATTTTCTTTCTGTGATGATGTCCATCGTGATCGATAGTGCATTGTGTGTCACTGTGCCACGAACAAAACCCAGGTAATTGTCATTTATTTCTTCTCCGCCATATAAATGAGCTATGCTGAGCACAGCATCCACATTAAAATCGATGACAAACGGTATTTGAGTTCGAAAAATGCACAACACATCGCATGTGTGCTATATTCAAAGTGAGAAATGTTTTTGTGCTTAATCATTCGGCACAATTTATTGGCAGTTTGTTTGGCATCCATTTTGCTAATGTGTCAACATGCGATGATTGACATATCTTTCTACATTTTTATACGTGATTCCCGAAGAGAATGAAAAAGAAGACATTAGAAAGATATTCCATGTTGGTTTTGTGTTGAGGTTTTAATGCTTCTATCAGTTTATTGCTATTGGTTTGTGTACCACAGCATTTTGCGCGACACATTTTTTCACATTTGTATTTTATGTAATAAGAATACATCTTCGCCATGTCATGACATTTTCAAATGGAAGTGTATTAATTCGGATTTTGAGCTTCCATTGAGCGAGAGTACGTTAGAGTTTACTCGAGATACACACACCGCTGCCATTATTGATCCTAGTCAGTGATACAGTACATAGATACGATTGAGAAAATAGATGAACAGAGAAACACACACACAGAGACAGACAGAGAGAGAGAGAGAGAGAGAGAGAGAGAGAGAGAGAGAGAGAGAGA